CTGTTTAGCCGGGGGGGGGGGGGTGCGCTCTGCAACTTACCTGGCTGCTGCTTGCTCTGACTGAGGGCTGCTGGGAGCAGGGGGTGGATCTTTACTGATGGGCTCCTGCAGGAAATCACCCCTGAATCTATCTAGGGAGGAAGTTCCAACGTTTTGGTGCCATCACCAAGAAAGCCCTTTTTCAGGGGGGCACCCATCTAGCTTCAGATGGTGGGGCTGCTGAAGCTAAAGTAATAAACAACAAGAGACTACTCTAAATTCTTTCATGAAATAGTGTCCAAAGGACCTATTGTAGGGCTATCTTTCAGCTATAATCCTGCAGAGTGCAAGGGGTTGGACTAGATGACCTGCAAGGTCCCTTCCAACTGTAACATTCTATGACTCTATGACCTCAAAGTCCGCAAACAAGGCAGAGGGTGTCCCAAAGAACAAAGAAACTTCTGCAGCCAAAAGACATCCTTCCCACGTATGCCAGGCGTTTCAAAACACTCTTCCTCAGTTACACGGCTGAAAAATGGAAAAGCAGGTTGCTATCCAGTAACTGCTGATCTTCGAGTGGTAATCTGAGAGAACCGGGTTTGATTCCCCACTCCTCCACTTGCACCTGGCTGGATGACCTTGGGCAAGCCGTAGTTCTGATAAGAGCTGTTCTTGAAAAAAAGCAGTTTCTGTCAAGAGTTTTCTCAGCCCCACCTACCTCACAGGGTGTCTGTTGTGGGGAGGGGAAGGGAAAGGAGTTTGTAAGCCACTCTGAGACTCCTCTGGGTAGTGAAGGGCGGGGTACAAATCCAATCTCTTCTTCTTAGCAATTCATTGGTGTTTCCGTAGTCCCAGTTCAAGTGTTCTGAATGTTTTGCACCTGTTATCTCAGTAAGCTTCACAACAGCCTTCTGCATTAGGTTAGTGGTACGACTGCAGACAGTGGTTTGAGGCTGAAACGTCATGAATTCGTGGCGGAGATGAGGTTTAATCTTGGGGGCTTCCTGGGTTTAGTCTTTTAGCTACCTGGGGCAAACCTAGACAGCATAAGAAAAAGTAGAGACGTCACCCTGCCAACAAAAGTCTGTATGGTCAAAGCAATGGTATTCCCAGTAGTACTCTATGGCTGTGAGAGCGCCGAAGAATAGATTCTTTTGAACTATGGTGCTGGAGAAGACTCTTGAGAGTCCCTTGGACTGCAAGGAGATCAAATCAGTCAATCCCAAAAGAAATCAACCCTGACTGTTCCCTGGAAGGCCAGATAATGAAACTGAAGCTCAAAGACTTTGGCCACCCAATGAGAAGGGAGCACTCCCTGGAGAAGAAGACCCTGATGCTGGGAAAGACAGAAGGTCAAAGAAGACGGGGACGGCAAAGGATGAGATGGTTAGACAGTGTTATCGATGCAACGAACATGAAGTTGAGCAAACTCCGGAGCATGATGGAAGACAGGAGGGCCTGGCGTGATGTGGTCCATGGGGTCGCAAAGAGTCGGACTTGACCGTGTGACTGAACAACAACAACAACATAGCCACATGACCCTCTTGATGGTGGCTGTCCTGCATCTTCTCAAGCCATTCCAGCAACAATCCCATAGAGGGCCCGTTCCAAGTTTTGGGAGCCCCTGGTTACATAGTTCATGGTGGGGAGCCTCCTCCTCTGACCACCACCAGCCCCCGCGTGCCTGCCTCCCAAGCCTCCCACTTCCCCACCAGCCTTTGTTTCCTCTCTTCCCTCACTTATTTGTGAACGTTTCTACTGACCACAGGGCGGTGGTGCAGGCAGTACAACGCCTGCTAGTAACATCTGTAGCGAACAGCCTCAATGGCTGTTCGAATCCCCACCGCGGCCGGAGTGAGCTCCCGGCCCCCGTCCCAGCTCCCGCCAACCCAGCGGTTCGAAAGGTAACAAAACAAGTAGATAAATGGGTACCTGCCCTAGGTGGCAGGGGGCACCCACCTCCTGGTTCCGTGCCAGGAGTGTTGGCGGTGGCGGTGTCAATGGAGACGGCAGCGGCAGCAACAACAATGGCGGCGGAGTTCCTGGCGACCAGACCTGACGGAGGCGGAGTCACGGCGATGCAGGCGCAAGACGGCGCAGCACGGCAGGAGCCTGAAGGACGTACGCCGGAAGCTGCAGCCGGAAAGCAGTCGCACGCAGAAGAGGAAACATCGAGCCTCCGGAGGTGGTCGCCGGCTACCCAAAGACGCCAGCATAATACTCGTAGCCCGCCGAAGAAGAGAGAATGCGCCGCCAAAGGGTGTCGGTAGGTTGTCCCCCCCCACACCCTGAAAATGTGTGGCCCTAGGTAGGTTAACGACTACTATACTAGTAGTACTCTGTAAACCGCTCTGAGACCCATTAGGAGTCATGGGCGGTATATAAATCCCATGTTAAAAAAAAAAATTGGGGGCAGGAACGCACAGGAACGGAGTTCTGGCTGGCATCAGAGTTGCCAACGCCCACTACAGCCAAAACCTCTGCATGTATGTCTACAAAGGGAAGGCCTGGAGAGCGACCCCCCACGGTGACTCCGAGGTGAGGGGGCCTGGAAGGATCGGGGAGGCATTTAAATGCCTCCCCAGGCCTGTCCAAGGGACAGCTTCCCCGGGCAAGCCAAGGGAAGGCACGGGGTGTCGTCTAATATGCTGATGGGCCGTACTGTCAGGGTGTGGCCTAATATGCTCATGTGTTTCTGCTGTTGGGTGTGGCCTATTATGCTAATGAGTTCCTGCTGGGCTTTTTCTACAAAAAAAAAGAGCCCTGACTGACCATATGTCCTGATGGTGTTGGTAGTGCGTACATGTAGGAACACCACCACTGTGTGCCCACCAGGAGTGCCGCAAATGGATTCCATTTGAGATATGAGCTGTGCTTAGACTATCATGGAAATCTGGTTCCATTTTTCAGGCGTGTAACTGAGGAAGAGTGCTGCCAAGGTATGCTGACGCCAGCCATGGTCCCACACTTTGGCAGATCTTTTGCATTCTAGCAGCCGATAAGAACACAAGAAAATAAGAGAAGACCAATGTTGGATCAGGCCATTGCCCCATCCGGTCCAACACTCTGTCACATGGTGGCCAAAAAGACCAGGTGCCATCAGGAGGTCCAGCAGTGGGGCCAGGACTTCAGAAGCCCTCCCACCGTTGCCCCTCCCCCCAAGCACCAAGAATACAGAGCATCACTTGCCCCAGAGTTCCTATCTATACCTGGTGGCTAATAGCCACGGATGGACCTCTGCTCCATATGCTTATCCAATTCCCCCTTGAAGCCGTCCATGCTTGTAGCCACCGCCACCTCCTGTGGCAGTGAATTCCATGTGCTCATCACTCCTTGGGTGAAGAAGTACTTCCTTTTATCCGTTCTAACCCGACTGCTCAGCAACTTCATGGAGTGCCCACAAGTTCTTGTATCACGAGAAAGGGAGAAAAGGACTTTTTTCTCGACCTGCTCTATCCCATATGTTCCTCTGGGCGCAAGCTGTGTTCCCCACCCCACCCCCTGGTCCGTGCCTTGCTTTCCTGTCATGCACGGCTGTCTCAGCCCCTCAGTTTTCTTCTCTCCCTTTTACGGATGCGGTTTGTGCTTCTGCTACTTACAGGCCAGCCTCCGCTGCCACGTCGACAGTTATTATTCAGATAAACGCATGCCCCCAACCGTTTCCAATACTGGTTATTTGAGA